GGGCTTGCTTATACGTAGGAGGAATAAAGATGGCTGGGGCGGAAGCTGAGAATGTCACAAACTCAGAGTAGCGAGCGGGAGCCTTCCCACACGTAATACGATCAAACTGGCGCAACGGAGGACTATTGGCCGAGTTTTTGTCATCGTCCTAGGAGGAGGACGAGTCAGCAGTAGAGCTCTGCTAGGAGGAGTCCGCAGAGGAGGACGAAGCAAACATGGAACTTAGCTAGGTAGAGTCTGACGAGGAGGAACTAGAGCCGGATGATGGAGCGCCATGGGGAGGGGATGGGGAGTCCTCATCTTCGTGAGGAGGCTTGCCGGAAGCTGGGAACATCGGGACAGGAACCAAGAAATCAAGGTGGGCGCTAGAAGTTGACTCGCCAGCTGCATAGTATGACACATGCTCAAGAAAAACCACATGGCACGAGATCTGAAGGAGCTGATTAGTCACATCGTAGCACATGTATCCCTTGTTCTTATCACTGTAGCACACAAACACACATTTTGAACCTTTAGGAGAGAGAGCTTATTCCATTCATGACGAGGGAATAAAACGTAGCACGCACCCAAAAACACGGAGCCATTTATAATTTGGGATCCTAGAGTAGAGAGCTTCAAATGGACTGTGACGATTAAGAACATGAGTTATTTGACGGTTTATCAAGTATACGATGGTGCGAACAACTTCAACCCAAAATCTGGGTGGAACTCGAGAAGAGAATAGCAAGGCTCGGGTGAGGTCCAACACATGTCGATGCTTGCGATCGACTAGCCTGTTCTGTTGAGAAACACTTGGCAAGACTACTGAGGAAAGATACCCTTCTGTCGTAACAACGCCTGCAATGGATTAGATGAAAACTCGCCTCAAGGATCCGAACGGAGGATTTTGATCACCTTCCCAAACTGCATAGATACCATCTGAATGAAATTCTGTGGAAAAGTTATCAGTTCAGACTTCTGTTTCAAGAAGTATACCCAAGAAAACTATGTAGCATGATTAATAAAGAGCGCAAAGTATTGAAAACCCGTGCGAGTAATCACTGGAGACGGACCCCACAAATCCGTATGAACCACGTCAAAGGGTTCTGAATAAACAGTAGAACTCGAACTGAAAGAACGCTGAGATATCTTAGCTTACACACAATGTTCACATTCATGATCAGAAATTGATCGTACATTGCCGGGTAACCCATTATTCTTAAACATCTCAAATAGTCTTGATTTATTCGGATGACCCAACCAAAAATGCCACAAATCCCAAGAAGAAAATTTAACCGAAGATCTAGAATATCCTGAAGAAGGAGTACATAAGCAGAATTAGAACTCAAGGAAAGACCCGCCGAAGCAGCAGTACACTCGGAAGCTCCCACAACCGAGAAATCTCGAGGGCAATCACACGACAATGTCCCACCCCGATCATCTCCCTATCGTGAGTAGTTGTTAATCATATAGTCTCGATCACGCTTACTCCCTCGTCCTATCTCCTCCCCCATCCTCATGTCCTACACAATACAACTATGGATATCAAACATAATCCTACATCCTTCATCGACCAATTGGCCTACAGAGACTAAGTTCGGAGCCAAGCAAGGGACATAATAAGCTTGAGGCAGGGCCAAATCATGGGTACTCACAGAAACACCCTTAACCGAGATATGAGACCCATCAGCCACTTGTAAATGAATACCCGAACTTGGCCGAAGAGTCTAAAAAACCGGACGAACACTTGTCATATGATTGACTACTGCAGAATTCAGGTACCAAGTCAAAGAAGAAGGAGGAATCATACCAGTAGAGAATGCAGCAGTGAGGGAAGTAGGGAGAGGCTCTTGAATGGTCTCACAAATAAGACGTCTTATCTCATCCTGAGAAATACTCGATGTCGAGGTAGAAGAGGATGGAGCATCAATCTTCCCAAGGGAGGGCACCAGCGTAGTGGCATACACAGGAGACATGGAAGGACTACAAGAGTATACATCAAAGACATAACCAGAATCCCCTTACTGACCATCAAACTTAGCTTGAATGAGAAAAACGAGTTTCTTCACGGATTAATTTAGCAACAACCTCCTCGATCTTGGTAACTTTCCGATGTAGTAGGGAAGCCCGAACCCCCTCAAACGTCAGATGAAGCTTTATGAGAATGGTCATGAGGCGGGAACTGGCCCTCTCTTTCAACACTTCCGCCGACGCGGCTGCCGACACTTGAGAAGTAGTTAACATATCTTGCTCCATCCAAATAATGAGAGCCTTCTGATAATATGGATCGTACGTCCATGTCACCTTGTTGATGTATAGCTAAATCAAACTCAATCTCAAATTTCCTAGACACATCCTCTTCAGAGTGGAGAGCTTGAAGATGCTGCCACATTGCATGAGCCGTGGTAAATGTACAAAGACTCAAGGCAATAGTTGGCTCAAGAGAAGACAACAACCAAGTAGTGACTTGGACATTGTCGACAACCATTGCCCATGAACAAAAACACGGAAATGCATCTCCGTTAATGTCCCAGTTTCGTATTGCTTAACACAAAGTACTTCATCCTGTTAACCGCCAAACAAATCTAGAACTAAAAGAATACTGAACAAGAGATTTACGTGGTTTCCCCAACGTAGAACGTTCAGACTAGTCCAAGCACAAAGCGTTTAGTTCTCTTATCATCAGAAGAACGATAGGTTTCACGTCAAGCACAAGTGCAAGGGTATATATATATATATATATATATGTGGCCGAAGTAGCCAACTATAACCCTAGCTCTCCTACGCAACAACTATTATACAAAAATGACTAATTACAAAAAGGACCATGAACTTATAACTTCTAACACATCCATACCAAGGAGTTGATAAAATTTTCATCCAATGTGGAACTTACTAAGAGCGTTCGTGTTGCTTATGCACCAAATTAGCCGAACCTCTTCCTATAGAGAATCATGAAATACTTTCTATAGTAAACCTGAAACACATAAAATATATACTTGAATAGAAGTAGTCTGATAGCTCTTACGGAGAATAGATTATTGCAACGTGAAAACCACGCGAAACCGGGAAAGGAGACCTCACAGATCCCTTGTTTAATTAGTCGAGGCTGAGAAATTAAATGGATCAGGGCTATTTTGAAGTCCTAACTGAGGTAACAGAAACCATGAGTTAAACCCACGACAAGGATCCTAGGGAGAAAGATCCTATACCACCAAAGACAACCCAATATCCAGAAACCGTACAACAATAGATTTTATAGGACAAAGCCACAATACATGGGACGACCCCAAGAGATCAAAATGAACCAAGAAATACTAGTCTAAAGATGAACTTCTCTTCGTGGTGGCAGCTTGATATATGTTGAAGAGACAAAATGAATGGATTTTCCATCACAAGCGTCATGAGGTCAACACCCAAGTCAAGCAGATCCAATATAAGACGAAAACCATAGCTCTGTAAATACTATGCCAAAACCCATCTAATTTATTATTGATATGGGGAATATATACAGCAAGAGATTGATACAAACATACAGAAACAGTCTGCCTACTCCTAAGGAGTTGTGGGTAACTAAGTAGCTGGAAATAAAGAATTGAATACAAAGTGGTTAGAGACTAAGGCAATACACTCTATCACACCCTCCGCAAGTGAAACCTCGGAGAGGTGAAACTTGAAATATAATTGCTTAAAGGAGAGTCGAGCCAATGGTTTGGTGAGGACTTCTGTGAATGGTCGGATGTCAGTAAGTAATGAACTCGAAGTTGCTTCTTGGCGATGCTTGGTCACTAGATGAGTGGTATTCGGGTTTGTCACGGATATTTTGACGACTTGGTGGGGCGAACTCCAAACTAAAAAAGAGTACGGACGAGCTTGATATGATTCCGGTACAATGCTGAAAGTATCCGGCGAACATAGCCGGCATGGGTATCCTGTTCTGCCAATTTGTCTCTTTGTATGATTCTTTAGCTATGGTAGTTTGACACTTGAGAAGAGGAAAATGACTATAATGAAGGGGAGAGAATAAAGGAGTTTGATCAGAACTCAGAAAAAAGATTCAGAGATGAGGTAAGAGTAAAGATGGATAGATAAGATTAAAAATTGGGAGGAAGCTAAGGAGAGGAGTAAAGAGAGAGAGACCCAAAAGAGGAATCGAAGGGGAAAGAGGTGGGAGACGATAAAGATACAACTTTGATTTCAATCAAGTAGCCGGATCAATAAAAGATAGTGTCTTATTGTGGTGGAGATAGATAATGGAAGCGAAGTGAGGAGTTGATGTTCAGGGGTATGAGATATCAATAAAAAGAGGGGGAATAGATTTGTGTTTTGGATTAAATAGAGGAAGAACAGTACCGAGAAAAAGAGGCGGTCGACATGACGAAGAAGAAGGAGAACAATGAGAGGTATTGGGATAGAGCCAAAGGCTTGAAGCAAGGAGGATTAGAAAAAGACCAGAGGAAAGGGATAATGGTTCCGGGTTTGGATTTAAGAAGAAAAGAAGGAAGTAAAGAGAAAGAGACAGAGGAGAATTGGACATAAGAAGTAGGGAGAGGGGGTAATACGCACAAGGCCTCTAAACCAACCTTAACAATATCATTATTCCATTTGATGCAGGAGAAGAAAGGCAAGGAAGAAAGAAGAAAGAAGAAGAAATTGCAGAAGAAAACATAGCACCTCGTTAGAGGAAATTTGGGGCTCTGATAACATGTAAATACAATGCCAAAATCAATCTAATGTATTATTGATATGGGGAATATATACAGCAAGAGATGGATACAAACGTACAAAAACAGTTTGCCTACTCCTAAGGAGTTGTGGGTAACTAAGTAGCTGGAAATAAGGAACTGAATACTGAGTAGTTAGAGACTAAGTCAATACACTCTACCAAGCTCAACATAGGAAAATGATAAAGCAGACAAACAAATCACATCTTGAGTGGAATGTACCAACGGTGAATTCAGGATTAGCGTTCACTCGGCGAAGCTATGTCGAAAGTTGGGTATCGAACTCCGGGTGCATGGGTGATTAATTTATTTTTATAAGAAACAAAGGGGAGAAATGAAACCAAATTTAGTAAGTACAATGATGAATCAAATTTTAAAAAAAATCAAGTTATAATGTACTTCATCATACAGCACTAAGCACACAATAATAATAATAATAATAATAATAAATAATGAATTCAGCGGCCTCAACACCACATAAAATCAAGATTTAAGAGGGTTAAGCTATCTGATACACACGATCATGATTATCCACAGCCGCCGCCGCCGCATCCGCCGCCGCCACAGCCAGCCGCACTTCCTCCGTGACCACCATGGCCTGCTCCACCGGCCGCGTATGCAGTCATATAAACCATCCCGCCGTCTGATCCTCGTGTCCGACGATGTTTCCGGTAGTTAGCGGCGGTTCTGTTTGGACCGGCCTTCTTCGGCTCTTTGGAACCCACGCATCCCATGGTTGTTAGATCGCTTCTTCACTTTCTTTTTCAATAATATTCCTCTCGTGCAAGGGCCAATTGATCGATTATGAGATGATGGGTTTCGAATTTATAGTAGCAGCCTGCGGAACAAAGGAATTGAAGGGATCTGTGTTGATTAAGGAGCTTGGAAAAGTCAACTTTGTGCTAGACGAGAAGTTGTCAACGGTTTATGTTCCTGGAGTGGACGGGATATTCCAGGCCACGTCCCTTTGAAACTTGTACTGCCACTTGCCGCACTTTCTTGCGTAAGTATATGCGCCGCGCAATACCCAGACTTTGAAAAGTCTTAATAGTATATATATGTATTGCGTTGAATAGTCCATTCTGGCTTCAATGACTTAATTAACGTCACAATGCCCTACGGGATCATGGGATATTCAATTCTTGTCAAATTATTGGTATGTCAATTGGTACAACTAGGTTCAATGGTATTAGATAGTCAAAATCGATATAAATAGGTTAAGTTCGGAAAATGAATAGTGATACAAACGGGTCAGTAATTTTCGATCCCGAAATAAAAATGACGCCATTTCAATGAAATTAACTAATAAAAAGAATTAAATTTATCGGATTCATCTGTGAATATTTAGATGTTAATGTTATCGATTGAATTCAAGTATAAATGTTTGGATGTTGCCTTAAAAGTTACATTTAAAATATGATGATTTGTCATTTTGCTTGTAATGTAGTATTTTTATTTAAATACGGATGGTAATGATGGCAATGGGGCGAGGCGAGTCGGGTACCTCAATACTCATGTCCTGTCCCACGCTACTGCGAGTTGGGGCGGGTAAAACCCACGCGGGTACGGGGTGGCGCGGGTTGACCCACTCTTATATGTTATTTGAGAAAAACACACGTAAATTTTACTTTTTACGATAAGACGAATGGAAAAGCACATTATGAATGAAATATAATGATAATAGAATTGGAAAATGAGTCTATCAAGTTGAAACATTGACTCTAACTAGTTGAAGAAAAGTCAAAATAGGAGAAATATATATAGATAACGTAAAAATATGAGATAGAACGGGGGTGGGGTAGGACGGGTCAGAAGTAGATACCCATGCCCCACGCTACTTGAGACGCTAAAACACAACACCAAACTGCGACCAAGTGTAATCGCAATCTGGAAATGCAAACTAGTGGCAAGTTCTATTTGTCAACCCGGGGTCTAGATCTACTGCCTACTCCGTGATTATTTATTATCTAGCAAACTAAGTCGAGTGATTGTGATTTTAAGCAAAAGCAGTAAGAAAGCAGGAAATGGTTCGAAGTTCTTAAGCAAGGGAGAGTCACTCGGGAATGAGTCCCCCTAGCTCCTTAGTTAGGTCGAGGTTGTAATTACCCTGGGTTATTAACTGTTGATTAAACTGCGGAAGATCCGACAGTAGCTTAGAATCTCTTAAGTTGACCAAGCCCTCACAGTCCAATCACCCGGCAGACGACTAGTCTTCACCGGGATAGAAAGCTGAGGCTATGAATGCAGAACTCCACTACTGGAATTGGATTTCATACAAAGCAGTAAATCGATTAACTCTCTTATAATCAATCTGCCACTACCGATTGATGAAGCTCTAACAACCTAATCATATTCTATCTATCTCAGGTTGCAGCAGAAATTAAGAAAACTCGAAAGTCAGCTCTAGGATGTGTTCTTCGCACTTTCTCTCTCTAGCGCTCTGTTTCTTGCTCAAAAACTCGATTCCCTCTCCTTTGGCTCGAAATTGGGTTAAAACCCAGAATTTCCCGACCACACGGCCGTGTGGCTTTCCTGTCTGCCCGTGTGGATGTGAAAACGCCGCGTTTCGATTAGTGGACTTCAAGCACGCTGCACGGCCAGAGGCACACGGCCGTGTGGATTTCCAGTCTGGCAGTGTGAGCTCCCTAGACTTTCCACATGGCCACAAGGGGTCCCATACACGGCCAGTGTGGCTTGGCCACGTAATGGGATTCCACACGGCCAAGTCACACGGCCGTGTGGAATTTCCAGCTTTTCGTCAAACGTCCCAACTTTGTCCAATTGACCCCGAACTCGTGCCCGAACCTTCTTTCACGTACTAGGACCTGAAATATCACAAACAAGAACAACCTAGCGTGAAATCGGCCTAAAACAGAGAGTACAGACTCAAACGGTACAGGAATGATGGATAAAAACATGAGTATATATCAAGTCATCGCTACTCCTGACCGGATAATACCCGTAGGGCGGGTTCAAATTGCTATCACTAACGGATGGAGGTCGTAAGTAGATTTTCTCAAGATAGATTACATAAATGCACAATTCATTTGGTGCTAATGATTTCTCACTTTCTCAATGCTTTATTAAAACCGGCATAAACCCGCAGGCGACATATATATAAATCAATTTTATTCTGATCGGATCATTCCACTTACTAAATCAGTGTAACTATATAAGTGAAAGGCTATTTGCTGCCAATCAAATTGCTATTTGCCACCAACTAAAAAAAATTGAATTCAAATTCTGAATTTTCCCTTCCTTCTATTCTATAAATTTGGATGCCGATAACATGTGACTCATTTCAAGAAAAACTTCTGTCGTCGAGCCCAGTGCCTCCGTCGCCGGCCAACCTCACGTCGCCGGCAACTTTTCCAAATTTTCGGCAAGAATGACGGCGGGCCGAAAAAAAAAATTGCGGCCAAGATGCCGCTGTGCCGAAAGATTTTTTCGACCGGGCGGGGAGCTGGCTTTCGGCCGGAAAATATTTTCGGCCCGGCGCCGCACCGGCCGCAAATTATTTTCGGCCCGACCTAATTTTGCAGGCAATTTTATTATATTTTATATGTTAATTAATTAGTCAATAGAAAATTAATGAGTTAATAGAAAATTAATTAATTGGTGATTGATTTAACAATTAATGTTAATATTCAGTACATTAGTTAATAGAGTTAACAATTAGTGTTAATATTTTTTTAAATTTGTGTATGAATGTTTAATTAATTAAATTAATTAATAGAACATTAATTAATTAATTAGTGATTAATTTAACAATTAATATTAATATTCAGTACATTAGTTAATAGAAATTAGCAATTAGTGTATGAATGTTTATTTACTTAAATTAGTTAACAAAAAATTAATTAATTAGTGATTAATTAACAATTAATGTTAATATTCAGTACATTAGTTAATAGAAAATTAATTAATTAGTACGAATCTAAGTATGATATTGTGTAAATTTCTAGATAATTAGATATGGATGATGCGGGGTGGGAGTGAGTTGCCTACATTCGATGGTAGGAATGTCGATGCATCATCACGAAGGAAGGTGCCTAAGAAGAATAAGAAGAAGAAGCGCCCTCGACAGATTGGACATCAGTTAGAGGCAGATTTAGGGGAGGATGAGTTAGAGGCTCCTACTGTAGTTGCTCGTTCGGCATCACGGGCATCTGATTCCCATGGGAGGAACCAGGGTGCTGCATCGAGGGTGGTCTCGGCTGAGTTTGATGAGGACGATACTGATGAGGATATCCAGGTCCGTCCACCTAAGCGTGGACGTGGACGAGTGCCATCTTGTATGGCAATATCACGTCCTGCTATGTATAGGGACCGAGCTGGGCGGTTCATACCACCTGCTCGTGAGGAGACAGAGAGCTCTGGGACTAGACGGAGTAGGGGAGGACATTCAAGTGGTCATCCACCGTGGGAGCTTGTTGGTGAGTGTCCTGGTGGACCTACGCTGCCTATGCGCTTAGGACAGGGATTGCAAATCAAGGGGTCATTAGTTGCTAGATTCGTACATCGACGGTTGAGTATCTAGGTAGCTACGTGTTTAGCCATGTTCGTGTGGAGGATCTGGTTCAACAGTCAGGTCTCCAGCACCTGATCTACTCTATGTTCCGCTAGATAGAGATTGACGAGGCTTTGATCTCAGCTTTTGTGGAGAGGTGGCAGCCAGACAGGAACACCTTCCACTTGCCTTTTGGAGAGATGACGATCCTCCTCCACGATGTTCAGTACTTATTGCAGATTCCTGTTGAGGGACGATTGATGAGTAGGACTTCTGCACAGTGTGACCATCCGGAGGTGGGTTTTTGTGCGCTTCTTGGAATGAACTCGAATCAGCTGAGTGGTTGGTCGGAGGTCCTTAGATATGTAAGTAAGGGTAAGTGGTACGACAATTGTTTTTGCTGTTGGGGTCCACTTTGTTTGTGGACAAGAGCAGAGAGAGGGTTCGACCGATGATGAACCTATTTTAGCATGAGTTGGAGGAGGTAGATCAGTACAGTTGGGCGTCAGGTACACTTGCTTGGTTGTACAGATACCTTGGTCAGGCGTCTCGAGCTGGTGCCAGTGGGGTGGCTGGTTGTCTCACACTTCTGCAGTGTTGGATCTATGAGTACTTTCCGAGTTTCAGGCCATCTCACTTCGAGCCACCTTTCGTTGGACCTGATGAGGCTTGGGCTTCACGATGGATTGGGCAACCGACACCTGGTTCTGTGGCTGATCCCAGTGTAAGGTTGGCGTTCTACCGTCGAGCTCTTGACAGCTTGACCCCTTCTGATGTGTTTTGGACACCTTTCCATCAAAGGCCTCATCAGGCAGTGCATCGCTCTTTTTACACTGGATTGATCTGGTTCGCTGATATAGGCGAGTACTATGATCCAGCCCGTTGCCTCCGAAAGTTTGGATACCGACAGATGGTACCGCCTGCCCCTTCGTGGCCTCAGTGAGCCGAAGGACCAGAGGCACCTGGTGGATATGTCATTCGGATTCCTGAGAATTTTGATGCTGCATGGGATGCTCTGCTATCCCACATGGTTCATATAGACATGTACTCTCAGCCCTGGATGACGTATCCATATGAGACTACGATCGACTATCTTGACTGGTTCGTGGTGCACTCTCATTATAGAGTCCTACGGAATGATGGAGATGCAGATCAACTAGTTGACTCCGCAACGGTAAGATTTGACCCCTGGATCGTTACTCTATTCTAAATATACTTAGCGTGAAACTAACAATTGTTCTTATTTTTTTGTGCAGCGTGCTCACGACCTTTTGTACACGTTTGCACTTGCGGTTCGAGCAGCAGCAGGGACTGAGGAGGAGTTTCTTGAGCATTATCGACGAGCCTACAGGGCACTTCACGGAGTGCAGGATGTGTGGACTAAGGACTGGGTGTCATAGGGACTCCCCCTCCAGGGGTTTTTTAGTTGTTTTGATGTTTGGATCATTTATGATTTGTACTATTTATGTTTAGATCGAATGTTGATGTTTAGATCGGATGTTTATGTTTAGACTGGATGTT